CAGTTTTTGCAGCCGGGTGAGAAGTCGCAATGCATCTAACCGTAATGCATTGTGTCAGGATCAGAATGCGTTGCTTTAAGCCAGCGCTGTAAGCAAGTTGAAGGCACCCAATGACCGGACTGGGGAAACAAACTGAAACGCGGACTTAATACAGAGGACCAATGACAACAGCCAGAAACAGCTGATCACATGGGGATCCCACACGAGGTTAACGCAAGAGCACCTGGCTGGAGATCTCCACTGTGGAGTCACTTCCGCTGCAGTCTCCATTCTCAGGACATCTCCACTGTCAGTACAGGAAATAACAAGGTGTGACTCCACCCCCTTGAATAGCGGACAGTGAGATGATGAACAGCGGTAAGTGCCTGATTTTCATTATCCACAGAAAGTAAATTAATGTAGCCTTCATTAATAATACAAATTACCCAATGTCTGTCAGTTTAGGTTGTCGTTTTAAAATTTTAGCAGCTTAATTTCCAGTTACTAAGTATTAATTTTTTTGGTGCATAGCGTAAAGAAACTGTGAATAACTGTGTTTGGATGTATAAAACATTTTTGTAAACCCTCCTTGCATTAGCTGAGCAATGCATCGTTACAAAGTTGAAAACGTGTTTCTGAACTCACAAATGTGATACATGTTTCTCATAGCCAATCTACGACAATGAGCTAACATACACAGTCGTACATAAGGTAGACTGGTTAAAAATACTTTAATCTCAATTTGCATGTGTCTACACAATGAGTTTTGAATAGTGGACTTTTCCTTGTAGTGGAGTATTTTCATAGTCTGGTATTATTTCTTTAACTTAAATAAAGGAGCTGAGAACTTCTTGTACCAGTGGTTATTTGCCTTTGAAAAGAAGAGTTAGTGAAGATATAAAGTTTTCCTATGGTTCAGGTTGTCTAGTGCAGGTAAACACATTTAAATAAAGTGTCTTTAAATTTAAACTGTAAGCAAAGATATTCTACATTTGACCAGCTGCATAACTTAATTTGAATTTAAGTTCATGTGTTGTGATGCAAATGCATATAATGCATTTTATATCTTTCGTAGATGCAACATTCAATAATTTGTGAAAAGCCTGCAGTAACACGCTGCACAAAATGCTGCAGTCTGTACCACTGCCCCCTTTGCCCCAAATACAAGCCAAGCCCACCATCCAGGCTTCAGCAGCACCTGGAAGTCCACATAAAAAATGGCTTTAATTGTATATGTTTTTGTCTTCAATTTAACAATAAAAAGTGTCTAGATAATGTGGGATTGGTGAATGAATAGCTGACTGATATTATGTCAAGGTGGATTACTTGAGCTGGCCCTGTTGGGATTTTGCTTGTGTTTGAATATCAATACTGATCATTTTAATAACATCTATTTTCAGGAAGAAGAGCAGCAGCCTGAAGACTCAGCTAGACCTGAAGATGTGGAGACAATAGTTGAAGAGGTGGGTTTGTTTCCCAGTATCTAGCTGTGAGATACTGTTGCCGCAGCAGTTAAGGTATAAGAAGACAATTTTTCTTTCTTTTTTCCATAGGACACCGATGCATCCAGGATCGTCCTTCATTGTAAACATGCAGCAGTGTGGGTTGAGGCCAACAAGCACATGTTTTCTGCCACAGTGGACCCACCTGCCGTACTGTCCATGGGGGCAGAGAATCAGGCAGAGGCTGCTGTAAAATATGGAAAGTTGTGCCATGAATACATGGATGAGCAGGACAGGGAGGCAATCCTGGAGCCTTTCAAGTTTATGTTCGATTGCATTGATGACATGTTGACATTCTGCCAGGAAATTATTGATAAGAGAAGGTATGTGACATATTGTGAATGTCGCACGAATATTACAAAAGAATAAAAGAAACAGGTCGATGATGCGCGAGGTTGTGAAATTCCGGCTAGATATAGTCGGGCTCACCTCGACGCACGGCTTGGGCTCTGGAACCAGTCTCCTTGAAGGGGGTTGGACCCTTTTCCACTCTGGAGTTGCCTGCGGGGAGAGGCGCCGAGCGGGGGTGGGCATACTTATTGCCCCCTGGCTGGGCGCCTGTACATTGGGGTTTACCGCGGTGGACAAGAGGGTAGCCTCCCTTCGCCTTCGGGTGGGGGGACGGGTTCTGACTGTTGTTTGTGCTTAGGCGCCGAGCGGCAGTTCAGAGTTCCCAGCCTTTTTAGA